TGAGTTGAAATATTTAATTATTAGTAGGCAAAATACACTTGTATAGTCAAAACTTTCGTGTTTGTGACAACAATAGTCAGTTTCAGAGAAATACCATTTATAAACTTTTGTCAAATTCTTTAATGGTATTAGCGTTAATATGACTGGACAAATAAGAATGCTGAAATGGCAAGGACTTCGACCAATTTTATCTATTAAAATCCACATGGATTTTAGGAATGAATTTTTTAAAAGGGGATAAAAGGTGAGAAGGGACTTCTAGAAGCCCTTCTTCTCCAACTTTTCCTCTTCCGTCGGTGCTGCCTCATCAACAAGTCGTCTTTACTCTCTCCTCCCATGCCTCGTTGTGTTCGGTGATGTCGCAGCTCCGTCGAGGTGTCCGGCAAATACACCTGTTTATTCTAGAAGTGAACATGTTCCCACGCCGCCGACTAGTGCTCTCGAAGAGGCTCGACGGGTCTGGCGCGAGAATCTTCTAAATCAACCTCTTCGCCTCACTGAAATCCACAACGGACACTTGAACTTCCCTTTAAAAACCTTAGTATACATCCTCGTCAAATTGTGATGCTGAAACGGAAGAAACCCAAAGACGAGAACAAACTAAATCTCCCCACACAACCACAGATCTGTCGCGGCACCATCGTACCCCATCCTCTTCAAGACCTCTGACGCTCCTCTGCTACTCCGGCATCGAACGAAGAAGATTCTGATCTAGTGGTCATGGCTTCTTTCCCCCATCCGGATCCTGGAATTCCTCGCATCGAATGAAGACTTTTCATTGCCCCTTTTCCGTTGGCTGCTTCTGGTTCGGTAGAAAACACATGGCAGCTCAATCTTTAACTACCAATCTTCAGTTGGTCCTGGATCTGGAGGAAGGCGACACAATTTTTTGGTTGGGTGTTTGCTAGGTTGTGATCGATTGTATTTGGAGGGAGCAATATATTGTTTGTGATTCGGGCCCAAATATATATATTTTACCCATCATTTCTTATTCGTTTAGCTTAGTATTTCATCGTTCCTCGACATATTTCACCCTAAGTTGTGCTTGTTTTGATACATTTCAGGTCCTAGCATTTGTGGAATGGTCGAGGATGAGTTTTGGGATATTTGGAGGTCAAAAAGCGCAAAAACCGAAGAAAAGTCCGAAGTCAGCCCTAGGAAACAGCCGCAGTTCACGGCCGGACAAGGTAGTTCACGGTCTCCTAAGACCGTGAACATGGACCACAAATCGTGAACATCGAGCAGTCCAGTGAGGTTCGTGAAGTTACTGACGACAAGGCAGTTCACGGTCTCTAAGACCGTGAACTGTGACCATTTACCGTGAACCCAGGGCAGTGAAGCGGTGCGTTTTGGACGACGCTGAGTTCACGGACGCGTTTAGGTGTTCACGGCCGTCAACTAACCAACGCGTCCGTGAACTGATCGCTTTCGGGCAAATATGAAGACAACAGCGGGGAGAGAGAAAGGAGGGCTGGTTTTTGGGAGTAGAAACTCACCCTTTTTTCTTGGGTGTTGTAGATCCCTAACTAATACTTTGTAATTACTTGTTTAGATTGAATGATTAAGTGTTGGTTTGCATCAATTTGAGTATTAGAGGTGCTTTCATGGTGATTGTGCATGCTCGTGCTTAGCAATCTAAGGGTTGTGCATGTATTGTGCTTAGCACCCTTAGGTTTGTGCATGTAGGTGCTAGCAATCTATTTAGTCACCTTAGCCTAGTTTAGAGAGGAAAATCCTCCTTCCAAGGGAGACTCCATCGAGTTGGTTTTCCTTCCGCTTTCTAAGCCACCTAAACTAGGTTAAGTTAGGGCAACCCTCAATATTGAGTAAGCAAATCGGTTGATCGCGATTAAGTCGTCCGACCTTAGAGTTGAGTGAGTGAGTAAGTCAACTACCGATTGTCTAAACCGAGAGGGTCGAGTGACACGGCCTTTCGTGCTTACCTCGGTTTAGCAATTGAGATTGTGGTCTTTGGCCACATATGCATCCCTCTGCGGTTCGCGGTTACCAGTTTGCATCTAGGTTGGTTGTGATTAAGCCGCTCAAACTCCGGTTTGAGGGAAAGACCTAGGCAACCACTAGTGACTGAGTGAGAGGATCGATCCCGTGACAAATCGACCTCCAGTGAATCCATCCCGTGACAAATGGATCACTAGTTGCTCCTCCTAGTGGTTCCCCTAGATCTGGTGAGTGGATCGATCCTGTGACAAATCGATCGCTAGTGGTTCCCCTATACTGCACCTGGCTAGAGTTTAAAAATTTGCGCTCTAGTAGGGGTTAATTTGTGGTATAGTTTTGTGCTAGTCAGTTTGTCTTCTCAATTTTTGTTTGGTCGATTATATTAGAAGAAGAAGAAGAACGGAGGTGGAGAAAAGGGAGGACGGCAACGTCGAGTGGTTGGAGAGGAGAGAGGATGAGAAAATAATTTATGCATTTTTATTTATTTTTAAAGTAAAATATGACATGGCATCTATTTGGCAAGTGTTGTTGAGTTGTCGATAACATGTTTGGTGACTTCGCAGCCCAGTAAGCGTACCGTTAAAATAACTAACGATGTCATTGACGCTGTTAAAGTTTGTAACGGAAATGGTTATATTTGTAATGAAACTTTGAAAATTCTAGCTATAATAGATATTTCTCTAAAATTGATTATTATTGTCACACATACGGAAGTTTTGACTATACAAATATATTAAACCTTATAAGTAAGCCTTATAATTGGACAAGTCTCTACAGATAAGGCAATATTAGGAAAGACTCTAAATGAAGAAAAACTATAATTCCAAAACTTTATATCCTCACAATATACTGCTTGGTTGCTAATATCAAGTATTAATCAACTGTCATGTATTTAAGAAATTCATTCATTTGCATTTCAACAAATAATATGGTCGTGGGAACAAATATGGTGAGACGCCATAGAAACAGCCAAGTCTGACAGGGAAATAACACATTAGTCAAACAAAGGAAACAAAAGACAAAAACGAAATGGGTAGATGTCACATTTTGGTCACTAAGATTACTAAATTGTTTCATGTTTAGTCACTAGAAAAATTTAATATCAATTTTGATCACTCGAATTACTGAAACAGATCACATTTAGTCACTCTCCCGTTAGCCTCCGTCCAACTCCAGTCACTCAAATTATTGAAACATGTCACATTTAGTCACTCTCCCAATGGAGTTGGACGGAAGCTAACGGGAGAGTGACTAAATGTGACATGTTCCAGTAATTCGAGTGACCAAAATTGATATTAAAATTATATAATGACTAAAAATGATAGGATTTAGTAATATCAGTGATCAAATGTGGCATTTACCCAAAATGAAATAGAAAGAAGGAACTCAATACCTCTATATACCTAGGGGTGTACATGGGTCGGGTGGTTCGGGTTTAGACATTTTAATCACCCGATCCATGCACTACGGTTTGGGAAATATGAAACCCAAACCCACCCAAAAAAATCTAAACCCTACGGTTTGTTTCTAATTGGGTTGGGTCGGGTTGGCGATATTTTTAAGTAAAAACCCAACCCAACACAAAATATGTAATTATTCTACATCATAAATATATTGTATAACTAATTAAAAATTTCAAACGAATAAACCGAGGTGAAAGGTATCAAAATTCACAAATATTGTTTGAAGTTTAGTAAAACTTGATTTACTTCAACTTATGTCTAGTTTTTTTCACGACATTTGTTGAAATAGGCTAAAAAGGTTACAAATGAACGCATCCATAATATGATATTCTTTTAAACTTGTACAAAAGAAAAAAAAAATTACGTGAATCATAACTATATTAAATATATGTCTAAACTTTAAGTCAAAGAATGCATTAGATTAGTGAGACTTAAAGAGGAAAACATGGCGAAATATCTTAATTTTCTCATAAGTATGACTATATACGACATAAATATTTTTTGGATACGAACTCATACCAATAATTGGAACACGGGTTGGGTCGGGTTCTACGGGTTGTGTAATCCAAAATCCAAACCCAACCCAAAAGAGGCGGGTTGTACAAAAGAAAACCCTCACCCAACCCAAAATCTTCGATTTAGCGATAAATACGGGTGGGTTGGGTCGGGTTGGACGGGTGGGTCGATTTGCGGGTGTATTTGTTCACCCCTATATATACCCATTTGATTTCTCGCCACCTAAATCGTCGTTTAGGTCCTAGCCACAATCTTTAAGCGCTACTATAGATATAGACACAATCAAATAAAAAACAAACGATTTTAAAAGTCTAAATTATACATGAGCATCAAATTCTCTAGGCCAACAACTCAACATAATGATGTCGAGCACTGGAGAATTTCTCGGTTCTCACATATTCGGTCACCGCATAGAAATCTGTATTTGAATAATGTCAACCAACTAGTATCCAAGTCACCATTTTCTTCGAACATGAGACAAATAAATTCGAAGCTTAAATTGTCACAAACAAGACGATCCCAGAATTGCATACGCAGATTTTCAGTCTTCCCGATTACAGGAATGGAGGCGCACAGTGCAATATACCATTGGTCCTGGTCGGCAATTGTCTATTAGGTCCGCAGTTTTGATAACCAAAATCAAGAAAACCCAAATGCAGAAACAATAAGGATTACAGCTGGTGGGTGTATAAATCTGTACAACATCAGGCCACATGAACTTGACAGAGGGCCAACAAAATAGTTACAAGAAAGGACCTTGGAGAGTGCAGTCTGGGAAATGCAAGGGAAGAAGCAACTGTAGTCTTTTTGGGGACAATCCTATTCTCATCATGAGCCTGGTTTCAGGCCCCCCGCCCACACAAAATCTCTCCTGTATTTGCGTTTCGACCAGACTTCTAAACTACCTTATAGTTCTGGCTTCCGCCTTGGCCTGAAAATGTAGGCAAGAACAAAATAATCAAAGATGAGAAAACTCAACCTCATCATACACATTTTTTTATATATCTTTCTGAGTCACTTTTCTTTTGAATTGTACTTTGTTTCCATTAACCTCCTAAGATTCTAAATGTTCTTTAAAGAGTGTAGTTGGTGGTAATACTTCCGACTCTTCTGCCGTGACCTCCAGTAGCAGGCAAGAGCACCGAAAGCGCAGCTCGCTAGAGCAATCGCCAATGCAGCTCCTACCGGCACAACAACTGCATTCGTTGATGCCACTGTATCCTCGCTAGATCCAGAGAGCACTTCATGCCCCACATCCTTGTTCTTGTACAATGAAACCAGTGTTTTGCCATAGAAGTCCACCAAGAATCTGTAGACTTCATCCATGTCCCAGTCAACCTCATTGCGTCTATCCTTAGCCTTGTTGTTAGAGCCATAACATGCAGGACAAAGTTGTTTCGGAGGCCAAATCATTTTGGGGAACTTGGGGTCGCCAGTCCCCAACGATGCCTCTTCCTCCATTAATCTCTCATTAACTTTATTATGTGTACTCCACAACCAAAGGACGAAGTCCCGCGATGTACCAAAGGGACTTTTAACACTGAAAGTTTATAGAAGATAGCTTGTAGTTAGTTCATCGTGAAGCATACCAAGGGAAAAAGGCTACTGGAAGCCTTTTTTTTTTTTTTTTACCTTGAACACATCTTGTGAAAATGTTGGCGACACTCCTCACAAACAAAGAAGCTGTTCACGAAATCGCATGTTGTTGTAAATGCAAACTGGCTCTCTTTATCATCGATTCTAACAGATAGAGAGTGCAGCAGCACCCATAACCCACAGCTGCAAATGAATAGAAAAGGTATATTATTATGGTTGGTGCCTAGTAAGGGCAGACTCGAGAAAAAAGCACCTTATGACAAGATATGACATGAAAATATAAAGAAGACTTGAGGATGGAACAACCACCGAAAAATGCCCGTTAGATTATACAGTCGAACGACGATAATCTGCATGTACAGCAACCTTGGAAATTGAACTCTTCAATATGAGTCAAACAAGGTACAAAAGAGAAATTCCTTTTCAGATGCAGGAAAGGTTTGGCCAAATTACAGACAGTCACCGACTGTCAAAACTATCCTGTCTACTGGTAAATGTCATGTTTACAAAAGAATAATAATCATAAAACTTAGTGTGCCTTAGCCTCAGTTGCACCTTAATATAGTACTACAGGACACATTTGATCCTTCAATGCGTAACGAGAGGAAATTTCCCAAAAACTAAGACCTTAAGGTAAGGTTCCAAACCCTAATTAATGCAGCTCCTGCATGTGCTTGCTTGATCAACAAACTAAATTAACAGGGGGAAATGTGGCATTACCTGAAGCCCCTTGTGTCATTCCTGCTTCCGCGGCAGAACATCTGAAAGAGTACCACAAAGCAGGAAACATGTTAACCATCTCAATACGATCACAGAAAATTGACAAGAAGGCTTCCGAATTTAAATTGATAGAAGAATTTCCATGGCAGCAAACACCCAAAAAGTGGGACCAATCAAGTGTTTATTCCTCATAAATGCTTAAACAAGAAACTATATTTGTATTCCATACCTATCGTAATAAATGGAATCAGTGTCCATCTGGTTACAAAAAAAAAATATATATTTCCTATTTCCAATTTTGGATAGGTAATAGAAAAGGCAATAATCAGATTATTGGTAGAACTACATAACGAGCTTCAAGTGGATTAACTTGGTTCACATGTATTCCACAGCTTTGTACAGAGCACCAATATATCTATCAGTTTAGTCCTCACCAGCTGGATTTATGGTGAACAAGCTACTAAATAGTACAATCCTTTTTAACCCTGTCTTCAGCTTGCCACATAAGAAAAAGCATTACCTGGTTAACTATTTCAGTGTTTGTTGATGCCTATTGATAAGGAACAGGTGGATGTTGAATATCATGCATCAGGTGCAGTTCAAAAAATAATCGAAAGCTACTGCTAAAAGTTTAAGTTTGTGAAGTGACAGCCAAAAGAAGAGACAAGTTCGTCACAGTTGACCAAGTGATAGAAGAAAATGATTTCTAGCCACGAGGAAAGCACATTTATCATGACTAATGGCATACAATTTCAGTCATGAGTAAATGTTATGAGCTCAGAGTTTAGAAATAAACACTAGCACGAAAGTATTAAGGATTATGCATGATATGAATCCTAGAATGAAGATGCTAAAGAGAACTAGCAACACACAAAGGCAAGGCGGGAACCTGGATTTAACGATATAGAGTTGCCGGAAAACCTTATGAATGGCCATCCCCAACCATCCTCACTCACAAAACCAAGCACATGAAAGTAAACAAAGGAAGAAAAACCTACCCAGTATCCTCGAGGAATATCTTTTCCACAAATGCGAAAAGTTCCCAGCACAGCATTGCCATTATCAATAGCCTCCTGCTCACTAGCCAGCCATGTGTCTGGCGGATTCAAATCGTCAAAGTTTACTAGCACTTCTGCACTACCCTCCCGGCACCTAAACAGGTATTCTGAGAGTAAAGCACTCGAGGAATGACCCAAAGCAGTAAATAGTTATGCATGAAAATACAATAGCTAGCCTTTACCTCTTAGAAGGATGATGTGCAACTAAAATTTGAAGGAATTTAATAAAGGAAGCCCGAGTTTCAGATTTGATCATCTGCACAGCAATAGGAATTATAATTAAAGATGGAGGAAAATGACACAAACAAGAAGAGAGCCCATAAACTCGTACACCGGCAACTTAAGTACCTTGTGTTTGAATATGATTTCAAAGGCACTTGCTGTTGCTTCCTCGACATCATACACAGCACGAGCAATCTTTGATACAGAAATTCAGCATAACATTTAGTTATTCCTACCTTATGCTGCTATAACAAATCATAAAGGATCATGGTGAAAAAGAACCTGCTGAGGGTCTGAGATGTTTGATGGAAGATGCTCATTTTCGAAATTGTCATCATCTAAACTGTATGAGCTGTGTAAAAACACAAGTAATGAGGACCATATCTGACAAACAAATATTGCATGGACAATGAATACACAACAGTCAATAGCAGATTCAAGGACATACATTCTTATACCTCAAGTAACATCATCTAAACCTATTGAACTCTACAGAATCACAGGGTAAGTACAATGGACAATGCTGGCTACCAATATTGCTTGGGCAATAGACAAACCAATTACTGACCTAGGTCATTCTTCCCTATACCCAAGTTATACTAAGGCGGATAGAAACAAGAAAACAATGCCCTGTAACTAATTTAATTACTTTGACACCTTTCTGCCTCTTCCAAAAGCAGTACATGAGCTAATATTTTAATTGAGTAATAACCTTAATTCAACACTTGTTTTTAAGAATCGCAGGGTAACTACAATGGACATTGTTGGCAACCAGTATTGCTTAGACAATACACAAGCCAATCACACGCCTTAAACAAGAAAAAGAAGAAAAAAAAGAATATCGACAGCAGCCACAGTAGTAGAGAAGAGGAGTGCTCTGCAGAAATTAAACCTTGAGGAAGAGTCTTTAATTTCAATATTCATTAACTTTTAGGAAAATAATTGAATATTTTAACCTTCTTTGACCATCTTGAACTTAGCAAGCAAGAAACAAGACTGTAAAAATATATTTTGCCTCCAGCAAGGATCTAAGCTCTAACAGGCTCAATTCTGAGCTGACAAGAAATTCAACAACATAGAATTTTCAACTACCCTATGTCCATAATTAATAACTCAACTCATCATAGACTCCAGGTGCATGGAAAACAATCTAGCTGGGTGGTGAGTTAAACACAGCTATTTCAGGCAAATTTAGTTTCTCTCACTTGATAACAATTGATGAAACCATCTTCTATCAGCCAAGACTAAGCTTCTCTCCTTCCAGCCAATACATTCACTCAGCCAGGTTTCAATTTGGATCCCAGGTAAAAGTGAAATCAAATGACAGAAAATAGCTCTCAATCATCAAGTGATGAAGGAAGCCTCTATAGATCGCTTCTCGGTGTGCTAAACACCACATAATAAGATGTTAGCCTGGAACTGACCAGTCATTTGAGTATGCAAAGGCTTAAGATCTCAGTGCAGTGCTTTTTTTTGTTGATGCTAGAGCCCAGTGCAGTATTGACCCAAAGAATCACAAAAAGCAGACCAACCAGCTTACTGCTAAGTAACCAAAACTTAGATCAACAGACATTGGATTGCTTTCAATGAAAACAATCGATATGATCATAAAGTTTGAGGACTGAAACAAAATGTAACATCAATTACTGGAATATCTCTTACCTCCCAAGTTTCTTGTTTATCCAAGCAATCAATTTGTCAGCCGTCCGTGCATCCTCAACCTCAATTGCAAGAATTTCACTTTTCTCTTCTGTAGGTTGCCAGCCACCAGAAGGAAATTTGGAGGGTGGGCCCCAAAATAGCATAGGATAATGACTCACGGAGAACTTATCACAGAGGTCACTGTTTATCTGTGCTGCCCAACCAGTTCAAAATGAGAGTCCATAAAGAAAGACTTCCAAAGGAGAAGAGAAATCTTGAAAAATAGAAAATCAAATAACTGCAATGATCTCCAGAAATAAGAAAAGCAAAATCAATTTCATCATACACAGTTACACTAGCACAAGCAGCTGCATTCAATCTCATCAACACTTCGGTCAAGCTCATCCTTGGAAAACAATTATGCAGAACATTAGGACACCAACCAAATAGTCTACCTCACTTCTTCAGCAAATGACCAACAGTAGCATTTCGATACATAGCCATATGAACAATATGAACCTTGGCCCTTGGAGAGGGTCTACACTGCACACCACAAATTTCTATGCTGTTTCCAAGATAACCTCAAAGCAGATAAGGGCTTCTTCAGAAAGACACAACTAGCGCCAACTATAGGAAGTAAAGTATGATACAATCTCCCGACAGATCTCCCACAAAAACAAAAACAAAAATATTGAACTGTTTCTCTCAGATTACCTATTGCTGCTTAAGCTGAAACACTCCTATATATTCTTCAGAAGTCTTTCGTACTTGCCATCTTCAACATTGAGGCAATACAAAGTTCAGCCTCCTAAATTGACGAAAACTATATCTGACTCATCCAATTCTATAATCAACTTACTTGACTGCAATACTAACAGATCAGAAATTACTTATGCTATTCCTAAAAATACATAGAAGGGCTTCACATCTTCTGGTTTTATCATGAAGATGAGAATCCAAGGTACTTCGGTAAGGAAGGAATGAAATTATCACTACCAAAAAACATAATGAGGGAGAATATTGGAAACCATCAAAGCAACAAAAGGTGGATAAAAATAATGAACACAAAGTAGCATCCACACCTTTGATGCACAATCAACCCTTCCCATCAATAAAATGCCAGGATGAACTGCATCAGGACCATTGAACAGCCTTGCAACCTTTTCGTATTGAGGCTGTATATTGAAGCTCAAAAACGTTAAGAATGGTAACTGAACATTCAAGTCATCCCAAACGTAAGAGTTTCGATGACATACCTTATAATTTCGGCATGCAGGACACCTGGCAGCAATTAAAAAGAGATAAAAATGTCATGAGAACTTTCACAAACTATGCATGCAGTTCATAATATAGAAGCTAAATACAGTGCTTCAGGGGTTCGGTCGTTGGGACAAGGATAGAATAGGAGAAACATAAATCTTCCAGTCCAATCAAATTATGATGCTAAGTACAAAAAGAATGGTGGAATTATTTTAGCGGTTAAAGCATTTCAACGTATCCCTTACGGGTACAAAAACACAGTTCTGCGTGTGAAAACCCAGTAATCCATAGGATGAACCAAGGAGAAACTGATGCAAATTCAGTATAAAAGAAACCATACATACACGAGCTCCTCGGCTAAATTTTACAGATGTGAGCTGAAGACCTTATCTCGAACCTGTTCTTTGACAAGGGATCCCAGTGCTAAACTGGAATCACCTGGCGCAGACAGACGAGAAATGTTCAAATTTCTCATACACTACAAATGACAGTTGCACCAAGTAACATTTGCTACGATTTTCTTCAAAATAACCAAGATCTAAGCCATCTGCTTGTTCCAAGTCAGGAACATGTATGGACTCATATCTATGGATCAAGACCAAAAGGGAGAAAGGCATGCAAATCCACAAGGACAATCTCATCCTTCCTAATCAAGGACATAAGTTCGACTCCTTTCTCCACAATTTCAAAATTCCAACGAACGAAGCAACAGACACATCCTCGTCCGACCTTGGAGGACAAAATTACTGCTATGCACGCGAGAAAGGGGCACTCAAAGTGAGAAAGAGAAACGAACCAATTGGCGAAGAACTCAACGATGGCGTAAGTAACTGGAGTGTCTCGTAGAACCGCATCGAAGCTGGTGGCGTTCAAATCGACGGCGTAATCGACTCCGGCAGGCTTGCCGCCGGTTAAAGCCCGAAGAAGAGAGCGCGATCCAGATGAAGAAAGGGGCAACGACGAAGACGCTATAGGAATGAAGAGGAGCAAGAGAAGTGAGCTGGCGAGTATTAAACATGTTTGAGACATGGACGACTGGATTGGGGGATTGATGACAAGAATTGGAAGAAAGTTGATTCTTCCCCAGGCTTTTTTTAGCGCGGGGAAAATTGTTGAGAATTAGGGTTAGTAGGTCCAAAGCTGGAGCGCCCCTCTTATGGAATGGCGATGTTTTAGCGGAAGCCGTGGAAGAGGCGACCGATCTGTTGTTGTTGTTTTTATTTTTTTTTATTATTATTATTTTTTTTTGAAAAGAAACCACAGCTCTCTCTCGGTCTGGGTTGCAGGGTTGGGCCATATTCATGGTTGTTCACAAGTTCGTAACGGAAGGTTTTTTTTTGTTTTTATTGTAACTTGCGAGAAGCTTTTATTGCTCGGAACTAGGAGTTACATTATCAGCAACCAGCTGATCTAAAAGGTAAACAAGGGTCTTTCAACTCAAGTCACTCGCTCATCCCATCTCGTATTAGCATGCTTCATAATGTGAGCAGCTGTATTACTCGTTCGAGGGCAATGTCTCCAACTACCATTGTCCATCTCAGTCAAGTATCGACGGATGTTACGGCAGACAATGCCAATTTTCGTTTGAACAGACCCTGCAGTATCAATCTTTTTCACCAGTTCAAGACAATCTGTTTCAAGCACCGGGTTTGCAAGCTGCATTTGTCGGCCAAGCTGAACTCCAAACTCAGCTGCAAGTGCCTCTGTCATCTCTACTTCCCAATGACCACTTATCTTTTTCGCAGCTGCGAAAATGAAATTTCCTGTAGCATCTCGTGCGACTGCCCCCAGGCCAGCTCCACCACCCTCAAGAATGCCTGCGTCCGTGTTAATTTTGACTTGACCTAGACCCGGCTTCTCCCAATGTTTGGGAGTCAAGGGCGTCCTTTCGTCCTGCCTGCATCTCTGATGGTGATGATATTCATCAAGAAAGGTTTCCGCTCTGCTCACAATCTCATTTTCTGGTAACTTCTTCCCATTAAAGAGATGGGAGTTTCTTTCCTTCCACAGAAAAACCATAAAAGAGTAACCCACCTTTCCATAGTTTTTGCATCCATAGTCTCCATTACAAACTTCGCCCAAGTATAAAAATCAGCACTTTCACGCGCCGTAAAACAGGCAGCAAGGTTGGAGGCACGCCAAAGACGAGAAGACCATTCATATTCAGCAAAACGATGGACCTGTGTATCCCTGATATCACAGAAAGCACACTTGTCACCCCAACGCTTGCTTTTGGTGGAGATATGATCCCCCGTCGGCAGAACGTCCCTCACAAATCGCCACATGAAGTGCTTTATTTTAGGGGGGAACATTCATAGCTCAAAGCTTTTTCCAGACTGCCGATTCACCCTCGATTGGGAATAATCCTTGCTTCATCTTGGTCTGTACCCACTGGTAATACCCTTCTTTCACCGTAAATTCCCCTGTCTTACTGCTTCCCCAAATCAGCTGGTCCTTTTCCCCGTTGTCGCGAAGTGGGATTTGGCGGATTATTTCAGCGATGTTCACCGGAAAGTAGCTATTAATCAGGTTTTCATCCCATTTCTCTTCGTCCTGACAGATCAGCTCGCGGACCGTAGAGTCAACTGGTAACCCCATAGTGATAGAATCCACATATCCACACGTGCTGGACGGGAGCCATTTGTCCCCCCAAATTCGGACCCTCGAACCATCTCCAATTCTCCATCTCAGACCATCGTTCAAGAACTCTTGTGCGCTGAGGAGGCTTCTCCAAATAAAGCTTGGATTATGGCCAACCTAAGCATCCAAAATAGAGCCATTTTTATGATACTTTGCTCGAAAGATTTTTGCAATAAGTGATCCCTCGCGCTGGTGTAGTCTCCATAGTCGTTTTGCGAGGAGGGAGGTATTGAAACCCATCAAGTCTCAAAACCCCAGCCCGCCATTTCCCTTTGCGACAACAACCCTTCCTGGCTGATCCAATGCACTCGTTGCTCTGACCCTCTTTGTCCCCAGTAGAAATTTGAGATCATACTATGAACTTCATTGAGGGTACTGTCAGGTATACGAAATACTGACATAGCGTATGTGAATTGTGCTTGGGCAACAACCTTCATAAGTGTTTCCCGGCCTGCAACAGAGAGAACCTTCTCCTTCCAACCTTTCAACTTCTTTCGAATCCTTTCCTTTATACCCAGGAATATGTCTTTCTTGGATCTACCCACTACCGTCGGGAGTCCAAGATACTTTCCATGCTTTTCCACTGTCCGCATTTCAAGCGTTCCACTGATAGTGAGCTTATGAAGTGGTTTCACATTCTCACTGAAAGATACTTCGGATTTCTAGAAATTAACCAACTGTCCGGATTCCCATTCATATGCCTTCAAGATTTCTTTTAACTTTGAACATTCTTGTACATTCGCCCTGCCAAAGAAAAGACAGTCATCTGCAAAAAAGAAGTGAGATATCGTGGGATCACCCCTTGCAGGCTGAATTCCGTGAAACTGTTTCTGTTGAACCGCCACCTTGGTGTAGGCCGAGAGGCCTTCTGCACAAAGAAGGAATAGGTACGGCGAGAGCGGATCGCCCTGTCGTAGCCCTCGGCTTGTAATGAAACTCGGAGAATGGTGCCCATTAACCAAAACAGAGTATGAGACTGTTCTCACGCACATCATCACTAAATTCCTCCATCTCTCCGAGAACCCCATTTTGTCCATAACTCCTTCCAAAAAGTGTCATTCCACTCTATCATATGCTTTTGCCATATCGATTTTTTCCGCAAAAATTCCGTGACCGCCACTGCTCTTCTTCTTCTTATTCTTCTTCATCGTATGAAAACACTCGAAAGCAGCCATGTTGTTGTCCGAAATAAATCTTCCCGGAACAAAAGCACTTTGTTCCAGTGAGACCACATAGTCCAGAACTCTCTTCAATCTGTTGGCTATTACCTTTGCTACCAATTTATAGAGAACATTACACAGGCTTATCGGTCGGAACTCCTTAGGTGAGGTCGGCGACTTCACCTTGGGAATTAACGCAATAAGAGTGTGATTTAGTTGGTCCGGCATAACCGCGTTCTGCAGAATTCCAAGCACTGTTGAGACCACATCATCTCCTACAATGTTCCAATATCGACGAAAGGCATGTCCAGCTCGCAGTTATACTCCGCAGAGATTGACGGTGAATGGAATCCAGAATTGGCGTTTCTCCAGGCACCACCCCTACAAAGAAAAGCACCTTATAATAATCGGTAATACATTGGAATAGTTGGTCATGGTCAGAGACCCAGAGACCAGCTTCATCCTTCAGTCTTTTAATTGTATTTCTCCTCCACCAAGCCGATGCTTTCCTGTGAAAAAAATTGGTGTTGCAGTCTCCCTCCTTTAACCAGTCCGCCCTCGATCTTTGCTTCCAGTATGATTAAGCATCACTCTCCACCTTGTCCAGTTCTTTCTCTAACTGTTTAATTTGGGCTTCCATTTCTACAGTTCTTGGGAAGCGTTCAGCCGCTGTTATCGCTTTCCTAATACGATTCTTGTGCTTTTGGAAGTTTGGGAAAGCTCGGCGGCTCCACTCCTCCAGTTTGTCCTGCAAAACAGCAACTTTGTTAGGGTATTTTCCCAGCTTCGTTGGTTCCATGCCTCGGCAATCACCTTCGGGCATTCGCCATGGTTAACCCAGTGGGGTTCAAATTTAAACGACCATCCCCAACGTGGCACTTCATCCTCCTCCCCTTTTGTGTCACAGATAAGAGGTCGATGATCCGATTTTTCTCTCTAGATGGGAGACTCTAGCTCGGGGGAAAACCTCCTACCATCTATCCGAGGCAACAAAACGATCGATCCTCTCCTCTATGAACCGTTTGCTCGTCCTTCTATTTTCCCAGGTATATCGGTAACCCCGGAATCCCATGTCTCGAAGACCAGCATCCGTGAGGCTCCCCTGGAACTCGTTCATATTTATGTCAGATGCCATTCTACCTTCTCAATTGCCGACAAGACTTGATTGAAGTCTCCGCCGCAAAGCCATGGTCCATTCCATTGGTTGGAAAGGCGGTCAATCAAATCTCATGTTTGCCACTTTTCATGATCTTCTGACCACCCATATATTCCCGAGAATCTCCAAACGTCACCTCCTTCTTCCTCTACCCTTACATCAATATGGTGTAGAGAAGCAGACATTACTGTAACATTAATTCCCTCTCTCCACCACAGGCTAAGGCCACCTGCTCGCCCCCCGTTGCGCCTGTCCGTCGACCATCCATCACCTTTTTCATAACCCAGCTCAGTTCGTGTTACCTCGTTCTCTTCATGTGTTTGTTTGGTTTCCATAAGGAAAACCATTTGAGGGGAATGACGTCGCAAAAGCGAGTCAAAGGATTTACTGCTCGCGTCTGCCTCAATCCGCGGCTGTTGTAACTGAGTACTCTCATTGATCACCGGAAGGGGATAGGTTCCCCGCACCATTCAGCCATTGTGCCTTTGCAGTTGCATTGGATACTCCATCCTTTTCTTTTGACTCTGTTGGTTTGTTCTTGTGTTTCCCAAATTTGTTGTTGCCAACATCCGCCTTATCTTTTGTAGAGCCCTAGGGTTCTTTATGCCTTTGACCACCTGTTTTTTCCTTCTCCATTTGGCTATTAGCCCCAGAACTCTTCTCGGTATGTGTTGCACTCTTGTTTTGGATATGTTGTTCATTGCTTCCTTTGCCAGTTTGCTTCTGTCTTGCTTCTAGGTTCTCCTTCTTTCCTTTCTCATTTTCTCCAGCCACTTTGTCTTTATTCCTTGTTTTGTTCATAGCTTCTTTCTCCCCTGTTTGCATGGCTACATGTGTATGGGTGGAGACTTCCTCCTCTTCACCAACTAGGTTGGTAAATCTATTACTATGTTCCATTCTAGTCCTTGCCGTTGGGCCTTTGTTGGAGACACTTCCCTGATTACCTCTTATCTTTTTACCTTTCTTCTTAACGGACATCCATTCCCCAAAAGCTCGTCCATTGCTTGGGTCCTCCACTAGTGTTTCTTCAACCATTTCAATTTCTTCCACGTATTCCTCAATGGGTGGGTCCT